ATTGTTGGTCAAGGGAATCCCACGGAAATGTCTCAAATGACTCATGCTGTTACTAAGACAATGGATTGTTCTCTTCAAAATGACTGATGGAGTATTTTTTATTTAATTTTATATAACAAAGTCCAATTAAATGAAAACAAACATTTATACACTATATGCATAAAAAAAAGACTAAAATATAACTTGATCAGAGGCATAAGAAGAAGTAAACAGGAGATCATTCTGTGACTTTAGTAATGTGAAATAAATGTGACTCAAAGACAAAAAAAAAAAAAAAATGACTGATGGAGCCCATTGTTGGAGACTACACTCACACAACTCACTGAATGTGGGGTAGTTGAGCTGGTGCAATCACGGAGCTTTCAACTCTATGTTCTAAACCTTTGATGCAGGGAGATACTCTGTAGGCTACCAAAAGAGAAACAGAAACACCAATCTATCCACAAAACCATTGAAAAAAAAACTGTGCTGCCTTCAAAATATGCTAGAGCAATGATGACATATAACCTGTGGAAGTAATACAAATCTTTTAAATGATAAAAAAATTAACACAAAAGTTTTTGACCCAGTACAGATTCTTAGAGGACAGTTGAGCATGGAAATCCATCTGTAAACCCAGAAGATCAAGTAGGGCAATACAGATAGTCAGACTTACCAGAATGCCAAAAAACTAGCTCTAATGACTGCCTGAATGTGTAAAGTGGAGGACAATTGAGAAAGACAGAAAACCTCAACTTGGAATCCTCCCACATTGGTGCACTCATGCGCAAGTACCTATGTACACACACAAGCAATGCGTTCACATACAACTCCACACAAACATGTACATGCACCTACATGCACTCATGCACACACAAACTCATGTAAAACACACATACTGACATTAAAAAAATAAGCAAGAATAAAAACATTAAAATAGATGTTTCAAGCATTCAACTAAAAAAGTTTTATATACATATATATATATATACATATATATATGTATATATATATTATATCAACTGTAGAAGACAGTGGTTCACAGAAATGAAGAAAACAAGTGTATCAGGCAGGGGATTAGTGGACAATACTTCTTTGGGTGGCAATATACACAAGTAAGTTAAACAGCCCGCAGAGTATAAACTAATGTTAAGATGAGATGAAAATCAGGACAGATATATTTCACTGAAAAGATAAAGTTGGAGAAACAGACATAATGCTCTACTTCATTAATAGCAAAGAGATGCAAATTAAGATCAAGGTGATTTTGTACCAAATAACTGCTAGATAATTAATGTTAGAAATAAGAAAGGCAAATGGTAGAGAGCGTGTGGAGAAGATGGAACCTTTTTTTTTTATTTTATTAGTTTAATTATAAGTCATTAGTGACACAACACCAGAAAACTGTCCCATGTTATGTGAGGTATCACAACTCTTAACCTGTATAAAAACCCAGTAAAATCAGTGTGATTGTCCCTGTCTTTTTAAAAAAAAATAATTAATTAATTATTTCTTATTTTACATATATATCCCAGGTCCCTCCCCTTCTTCCCCTCCTCCTCTCCCTCCCATCCCATTTTGATTATTGATGGAAATGTAACTTTATGTAGCCGTGACAGTAAGTAGCATATGGCATGCTTGCAAATACATATGGAAGTGACAAGGAATCTAAAAGTCACATTACTTCTTTTGTAGTTAGATAAAAATTATTGTACTTTAAATAAATGTGCATGCTACCAAGTTTATTGTCACTTGTTAACAACAGTCAAGCTGTAAAACAACCAAACATCCACCTCTAGGTTAATGCTGAAAGGATCTCTCCTTCTCCCTCTCCCTTTCTCTCTCCTGTCTTCTCTTCCATCCTTATTTATCTCCTTTCTTCTTGTCCCTCTCCAGCTTCATCTCCTTCACTCCCCTCCTCAACCACTCCCACATTTGACCAAACAGATACACAAGCAGAAAACATACAGAAATCAATGTGTACTATCTAATCATTTAGTTAATTGATAATATATGTGTTTTTTATACAAAAATTAAAGGGTATTATGAAGATAACATAAACATAATCACAGTGCAATTAAAAATGAGGAGTTAGATGGCCATGCTGTATTTCAGTTTAATTTCAGATATTTTGATGTAAAGTTAAAGTTTTTGAAGATTCTTCGAGGTACTAGTGGGAAAAAAGAAGCACATCCAGGCAGAGAGGCAAAGAAGATGCATAAACTCTTCAATGGAAGCCATAAGACCAGTGTCTTCTATAGTACAATGGGTGGCAACAGCCATAACCATAGCCACCATAGCCACAGCCACAGCCATAGCCTAGGCCACCATAGCCATAGCCCAGGTCTCCATAGTAGCTGCCGTAGTAACACATGGTTCAAGAATGGTCTGTCCGAGAAAGATTTCTTGGATGTCACCATCTGCCAGGGGCGTTTTTATACACCTGGGTGTTTGTTTGATGGGTGAAAACACAGGCATCTCAGCATCACACATATTTCCACGGTGCCTCAGAAAATACCAGCATGCTATGGTTTACCGGACAATCAAAGCTGCATAATAAGATAATTCTGCTTATATTTCAGGATCCCATGATCAAATCATGTGGCTTTAACATGAAATCCTGATTCTATTTTCACAACTATGCTTCATTCTGTATTTAGTTTATTTAATACTTATATTTAACACTGTCTCTATGCCATTTGTTGAAATAGCTCGCTCTTTTTATACCTGTTTATTTTGTAAAAGTCTTTGCTTTTCCTTTTCTTTTGTCTTTTTTTTTTTTTTTTTTTTTTTAAATTGGGAAGTAATTCTACCCGGAGGAATGTATTTCTCAAGCGTTCCTAATGAAAACTGATTTGGTTATTGGTAACTTGATGGTAGTTAATATCTACGTAGATTCATTTTGGTTTTATTCTGAATGTATTCCATTCATGCATGTTCTTTCAAATTTTTATACATTTTCTTTTGTGCTACTGTCACTTAGTTTTTATTACTATGGCTCTGTGGTATAATTTGAAATCAGGTTCTGTGGTAGGTCCATCATCTTCTTTTCAGCTTTGTATTATTTCTGATACTAGAGTCATTTTGTGCCTTCATATGACCTTTATTGATTGTGTTGTCTAGTTCTGTTAAGAACATGATTGGAAGTTTGATGGAGATTGCATGAAATCTGTACATTGGTTCAGCAAACACAACTGTTTTCATGTAATTAACTCCTGCAGTCTACGAACAGAGAAGTCCTTCCATTATGTAGTGTCTTCTTCAAATTATTTTCTTCACAAAATTGGGTTCAACTGTATGTTACACAAAATAAGTCAGACTGAGAAAGACACATGCTGGGCTGATAAGATGGCTCAGTAGTTAAGGGCACATATCACCCATGTCTGAATATGAATTTGATCTAAGTGTCCTATAAGGTGGAAGGAAGGGACCCATTCTCATATTTTCCTCTGACTTCCAGGTTCATGATAAGCCATACATATATCCCCCATCTCACTGTATTCAGAAAAATTCAAATGAATAAAATTTTAATAAAAATTAAAAAGCCCAGACCCCTTGGGTGTGAGTGTTAGTTAGGAGGAGTCGGCAGTCTATGGGGCCTCTGGTAGTGGACGAGTATTTATCCCTAGTGCACAGATGGACTTTGGGAGCCCATCCCACATAGAGGGATGCTCTCTCAGCCTAGACACATGACGGAGGGCCTAGGCCCTGCCCTAAATGTTATGACAGACTTTGAAGACTCCTGGAGGAAGGCCTCACCCTCCCTGGGGAGCTGGGGTTTGGTGAGGGTGATAGGGGAGGACGGGAGGGTGAGGGACCTGGGATTGACATATGAAACAAGCTTGTTTCAAATTTAAATAAAAAAGGGAAAAAATTAAAAAGCCACAGGTTTACAGGTGTATATACGGCCCAGGTGTATGAAATAACAACATGCAACCCAGGATAGATCTCTTAAGGCCAGCTGAGTGTAGCAGTTCACCTGCTGACCTTGCATATCGTTGGAGGCAAATCAGATTGTGAGCCTAACTTGAATGCCAAATTCCTATTCTAATAATTATCCTCAATATGTAAGGTGGAGAGCAACTGAGAAGGACAGAAGACCCCAACTTCAGAAGACCCTAACCTGCAACCTTTCCGTAAGAGCACTCACACACCTGTGCACACCATGCGTGCGAACATGTATAAAACATGTAGAGAGATGTCACAAACATGAGAAGGATAAAGGAACACAGACACATTTTCATGCTTCCAATCAAGAACGTTCTGAAGAACTGAGCAATCAACTGTGTAAAAGAAACTCCACACAAGGAAAACAAACAAAATTAGCAAGAACAACAGACAGGGAACAAACCAACAAAATTCACATGGGGCATACATAGCTAAGCTAACAGCCAAAAGAATACAAATGGATGTTAAGTGAGCCAAGAATTAGAACAGGTATTTTCCAAAAGAAAAGATACAGACGAACAAGCAGAAACAGTAATGCTCTATTTCACTAATAGTGCATGGGCGCAAAGTGAGATCAAAATAAGGCGGAACCCCCAAACTGTTAGATAATCACTATCAGAGAAAAAGACATGGATGTTAGTTCTCCACTGTTGCTCTACTGCTGTTATAGCTAGATTAAACTGTTAGACCTTAAGGAAAAAGGTGCACTACCAAGCTTATTCTCACAATGCTTACATTAATCAAGTTATAAAAACAACCAAATAGATGTCTGTAGATAGATGAATGCTGAAAGATGCTTCTCCCTCCGTCTCTCTCTAATGTCCCCTCCTCCATCCTTTTCACCTGCTTTTCCTTCTCCCTCTTCATCTCCCACTCCTTCACTTCCCTCCCACATTTCCACAACCCCCCCCCGCATGTGACCAAAGAGATAAAAAGCAGAAAACATCCAGAAATTATTTTGTACTGTTTAATATTTTAGTTGTTTGAGAATACAGATATTTTTACACCAAGATTGGGAGTTAAAGTTGAAAATGTTTTATCGATCCTGATGAAGATAGCAAAACATTTTTTTGCAGATAATCACAGTTCGGTTGATGATGAGGAATTAGATGATCGTGTTCTATTTCAATTATTTTTCAGGTATTTGGTATAAAGGTTGAAGTTTTGAATGTATATTTGAGTTGCTGTTGTGAAAATACTTGGAAGCACTTCCAGTCAGGATGTCTGGGCATCTATAGAAATGCCTCAGTAGAAGCCAAAGGACCAGTACCTTCTATAGCACAGGGGGCGACAGCAGCCGTAACCATAGCCACCATAGCCACCATAGCCACCATAGCCACCATAGCCACCATAGCCACCATAGCCACCATAGCCACCATAGCCACCATAGCCATAGCCACAGCCACAACCATAGCCTAGGCCTCCATAGCCATAGCCCAGGCCTCCATAGTAGCTGCCATAGTAACACATGGTGTCAGGAGTGGACTGTTGAGAGAAGATGAGCAGAGGGTTCCTTGAGTTTGTCTGTCACCATGTGCTGAGGGCCTTTTATACAACTGGGGTGTTGTTGGGGAAACCACAGGCATTTCAGCATCATGCATCTCTCCACTGTGCTTCAGAAAACATCACGAGTTCTGTGATTTACTGGACACACAAGGCTGCATAACTGAAATAATTATGCTGCTCCCTCAGATGCCATGGTCAAATATTGGATCTGATGAAATTTCCAGGTCTCTATGCCATTCTTCATGATATTTAATAAAACATCATAGGATTCTCTCTGGTGATGGAAATCATTACATAGTTTTCTCATTTTTACATATGTTGGGTTTTCATTACCACATAGAAAGACCAGTTTTTCCCCCCTTCAATTTGTTATTTTGGAATGAATCTTACCTGGAGGAATATGTTCCTTGAGTCTTTCTCATGAACTATAAGTGTTGGTTATATTACTTGTCTCTTGGTGGGTAGATGCCATCTTATATTAGTACATTTGAATTTACTCCTAAGCACTTTATTACATGTTGCCTTTAAGTCTGTCCAAAATACAAGACTATTTAATGTTCATAAACTGTAGGTAGGTACTGTGTGTTTCCCTTAGAGAGACCATTGGAAGGTCTTGAAGATGTCACCATGAGAGGAATTATGTTTTTTTTGGGGTGGTGAATCATGGTCAATATTAATAAACTTTTGAAATAATGGGCACATGAGCGATGCAGAAAAACTAGAGTTGTGTGCCTTTATGAGTTTAACTAACAGTTGGGTGGATAAGCACTTTTTGTGCCTGCATTAGGATGTAGTTAAAAATCCGCCAAAGCCACATAAAAGTTGGGTGTATTCATATTCCTACACCCCAGTAATATAGGGGTAGCATACAAGAGGATTGCTATGACATAATGCTTGTCAGCCTGGCACCATTTCCCACAAGAGATGCAATGACATGGGAATAAAATAGGTAGACAGAGGAAAGAGATGACACAATGGTCTCATTTAGCAACTACACACATCCATCCGTCTACGCAAACAGCTTTTGCTTACACCACACTCAGAAATGACACAAAAATGCATACACATATTTGCACGTGTACATACACATATGTACCAACAGAAATTCTATGGGCAATTGCCAAAATATGCTTCAGAATATGCCTACCTAGAAGGCACAAAGCATTAGATGGAATCCCTAGTATAGTCCATGAAAGAAAGAAATGAACAAATGAAAGAAATAAGGAAGAAAATTGTATAGAATCCTTAAGAGACACCAACAAGCCATTTGCACTCTGTCTCAGTTTGTAGCTGATGGAGGGAGTTTTGGTATGAAAGGTGACAATCCATCAGAGATAGGTTTAAAGTTTGAACTTTTTACATATTTACCAAGATATATGTTATCTAAAGTAGCTAAGCATTTAGTAGGAAGTTTGACAAAAAGGGTGACATGGGGTGACAATATGGTAGCTCTTGGACAATTTCAAGAGAAGATTTCCCTCTGATTTTAGAGTATCCAACCTGAAGTTCTTGACAAATACTGTCAGTGGTCGAATTTTGATCATCATATGACAAAACCAGTCTTGTGTATAGAGATGTTAATAAAGTCCCTGTATCTGAAACCATACATAAATACAAGCTTAAATGAAATGAAAATGCATGAACTTAATCCACAGACTTTCTATAACGTTACAGGGGCTAATGCAAAGGCAATACATGTTTGAGTTTTCACAGCTAACATTCACAAAAATGGTGACCTTTGAATTTTAGGTCTGAGTTTACTCCTTGCTCCAGTTTCATCCATTCAGTTGCAAGTTTCAAAATTTCACTTCTCTTAACAGTTGGATCTTGTTCCATTGTGCAAATGTAACTAAGTTTTACTATAAATGTTTCTGTAGTTGGACAATAAGGCTGTCTCTGTCCCTTGGATACATTGAATAGAACAGGAATGATTGTGAGTAAACAAGTATACTATGATACAGAGACCTTTGTGTTTATGCTCCAGCATTGTGATCTAGATTATGTAGTAGTTCAATTTCTAAGTATTTCTTGTGTGGTTGTTTTTTTTTTTTAAAGCTCCACACACATTTTTTTTTCCAGTGGCTGAACCAGTTTTTACTCTCACCAGCTGCAAATAAATGTTTTGCTTTCTTCAAATGCACACCAGCATTTATAGTCTGTTGAGCTTCTCATGTTAGCCATTCTGACTGAAGTAAGAAAGCATTTCAAAGTAATTTTGATTTTTATTTCCCTGAGAACTAATTTTGCTGAACACTTTAAAAATGTTTCTCAAGCATTTAAATTTCATCACTTGAGATACATATATTTAGTTTCATCCTCTATTTTCTGACATTAGGTTTGGGAGTTCTTTGTGTATTCTATATACTGACCTCTTTGATGTGTAGAAGTTAAAAATTTCCCTCATAACTTAGGGCCATTCTTTACTTGGGTATTATGTTCTTTGCTGTACAGAGCTTTTCAGTTTTATGTTGCTGCTCTTAATCCCTGACTTACTGGAGTTATTTTCCAAAAGTACCTTCCTGTGGTACTGAGTTCATGTTATACTTTATCGGATTCCATTGATCAATGCATCTATTTTTAGTGTCATACTATGCTGTCTATTAATATAGATATTAGTGAGGGGCCATGTGCATGTGTCTGTGGGGGATTCTCTCAAGGGAGTTGAAATAGAGTTTGAAGAGGTAAACGTTACAGTCGAACAGGTTACCCTATAATGGGCCAACAATACCCATAATAGACAACACAGGCTAACAAATGAAAAGCCTATTGCATGGAATGTGTTACCTCTCTTGGAATTCTTGACCAATAGACCTCCAAATATTACTGGTGATAGTAAGACCCTGTTTCTGAAGACATAGTTGAGTCACAGATCATGGAGAAGTCAAGCTCATACTCACTTGAAAGTTTCACATCTATTATTTAGCTTTCTTATCATTGCAAGTTCTCATACACATTACTGGAAGATTAATACTTTACCAATTTTAACCAATAGTGCATTTTGTGAGGTTCAAAAATTACTTGTCTATCAACACATATGCACATCTATAATAGGGACATGAAGACTTTGGGAAAACAAAATCCTTTCTGATTAAATCTAAGTTCCATTTCAAAAGATGCAACCCATACCTGGCACTGTTACTAGTCCCCTGAGCCTGCAGCTAGACAGGTCATAGTTCTTATGAGAGAGCCTACTAGTAATATTCTACAGAGCAGTCATTGTATTAAACAGACTCCCAATGATACTGTTACACTTGTAGATTTGTGCACTTCTCAACTTTAATCAGTGCCGTGCCTCATTGATATTGATGATGATTAAGCCTGAGATCCAAAATGTACCGGATGAGATGTAGGCTGTGACCTCAGCCCTAAAGAGAACACACACATGTGCACATGCATGCACACACACACACACACACACACACACACACACACACACAGAGAGAGAGAGAGAGAGAGAGAGAGAGAGAGAGAGAGAGAGAGAGAGAGGATATATCAGGTATAATTGAGAGACAACACATGACTACAAGTGAACCATGTTTTCCATACACAGAAGGCAGTTCCATGTATGAACCCACAGAAGTTGTGAGTACGTGCACATGACCTAGCAAGCTCAAGCAGGATAAAGTCCCAACATTGAGTTGGCAGGCAGCTATGAATTTCTGCTTTTAGCTGAGGAGCTGTTGTCACTTGATAGCTGCCAGTATATGAAGAGTCAGCTTCTTTAGGGTTGTGGCCTCAAGTAGGTCAACCACACTCCATATGATGGCTATCCATCCTTGAAGATAGAGCATCCTAATTTGGACTAGTTTAAGAAGAGAAAAAAGGATGAAAATTTGGTGGAACATAAAGTGGGGGAGTCTGGGAAGAGATGGTGAAAGACATTAATTTTATTCAAATATATTAAGCAAGGCTCTCCAAGAACTAGTAACAAAAATGAATAGATTGTAGAGACAGTTCCTTTCTTATTCTCATAAATGGCTGCATGTGACTTCAAAAGCACAGCAACAGAAAGAAAATAGAAACGTCTGCTTGTACCCTTCTTGTACTCCATACAAAGAATAAGTATTCAATAAATGAAAATTATGTGTAATATCCACAAGTAAATAGCGTGAGGAAAAGAGATTGATGTTATATTTGTTAGAGAACCTTTATAAATATTCTTAAAGGAAGATCTGCAGATGACCAAGGGTGAATTTGCAAAATAGTAAGTCACTGTTACAATGAGATTGTTCTCTATAGTTGTTAATAAAATGGACATTAGAAAGAAAATGGGTGTTAGAGAACACATGAAGTTAAGGGAAGCCTGTACACTGTGAGAATGTGTATTGTGACAGCCATAGAAGGCATTTTGGATATTTAGAGAACTAATGTGATAGTTCTCTATATTTAGCTAGCAAACAAAAGGATTTGTTCTCAGAGAAAGAGCTGCACTACCAAATACATTGTGACATTGTAATAGCAAAAGTGGGAATATAATAAAACTGTCTACCAATAAAAGAGTGTTTAAAGAGAATATTTCACTGTCTCTCTTTTATATTTCTGTCTTCCTTTTCTTTCTTCCTTTCTTTCTTTCTTTCTTTCTTCTCACCATCATTCTCTTCTTCCCTCACTCTCCAACATCCTTTCTTTTTTCCTTCCTTCTTTCCTTCCTTCCTACTTTCCTTCACCATTCTCCCATTTATACACAATCATACATACATATGTAACCAGTGAGATATAAATACATAGGCATACATTACACATTTAGTAAAACAATAGGAAACGGTATTTCAAGGAAATAGTTTATTTAAAAACATATATGTTCATAGAGAGGGTAAGAATGAAAGTGGATCACACCTTCTAAGGCATTATGATGACAAAGAATAGCGTTTCTGCAAATATTCATGCATTCTAATTGAAAATAAGGAATTGGGTAGTCATGTTGTGTTTCATTTATTTTTTACTCAAATAGTTAATCATAAGGTTGAAATTTAAGAAGAAGAATATCTGATTGAAGAA